GGCCAGACCTGTCAAAGGGCATCTCAATTCTCCTCTTCATCTCCTACGGGAAGCTGCAATTACGCAACCAAGCATGCCTCTGGAGGGATATGGCACCGACTAAGGCTCTTGAATCCATGCCCACATGGTGTCTGGCGGTGGAGAGCTGTTGTATTGCGACCTGCATGGCCTCCTTTATGAAAACCCTTGCAAGGTCGCCTTGGTTGTCTGGGAGAGCAGCAATGATGTTGTCCAGGCACTGCCAGTGTCACCTGATAGTTGGAGATTCGCAGGCCGAGTCCAGAGGCCACATAGACTCGGCGAGCAAGAGAGTCAATCTTCCTCCCTTCCTTGTCACAGGGCACGGTGTGACCACATGACTCCCAGCCCTGAGAAGACTCCACCACGACCGAGGTCAGCTTAGGGTGATGTAGGAGGAAGATAATTTCCCCCTCCCGAACCCAGTACATGGCTTCATATCTCCTTGAAGTTGGTTGAGGGTGAGCCGGGAGGTCCCATGGCTGAGTCATCGCTTGGCGCAGAGTTGTGATAAGCGGTAAAGCGATGGAGGTCAACTGTTCACCCCAGACTACATCGTAGAAGTGATCGGTGGTGGGACCGGGCTGTTGCTGAGCCTCGATCTCCAGTGACCGAACCAGCCTGGACGTCAACTCTGCAAAGGAGATGTGCGGCTCTTCTGGTGATCCGGGGCCCTGAGATGTGACCGCAGCATCATGTGAAGAACTCAGACTCATCCGAATCCACCCAATAAGGAGCTGGGACGCTGGAGGAAGAGTCTCCTGGCAACACTGATCTACCGCTCTCCCTAGGCGGCGCCAGTGGAGCATCTCTTGGATCCGAAGAATGAAAGCGATCTCAAGGAGCCGGTGGAGAAGGCTGGTCTCAAGAAGCTGGGTAATAACCGACGGATTGGTAGTCACCACATCTTGGAACCGAGGAATCCCGGGAGTGATACCAGTCATCAGATCGGCCATCGGAAGATCAGCTTCTATGGCTCCTCGGAAGAGACATTCCAGTCTCGGTTTCCAGCTGTACAGGAGGCATAGACGTGGGAGACCTAGCCTTCAGTGGAGAATCTTGTATCTCGCCGTTGGAAATCGAACCACAGGGAGGATCTTGGTATAGTTGCAGTTCAGTTCCCGTATGACGTGGAGAGCCCGGAGGAGTAACCCTCATAGCCGCCTGGATGGTTGGACCCGAGGGTGTTGGTACCGCGACAGCGGTCGAGACTGAGGTCGCCACCGAACCCGAGTGTCGGTGTTTAGTGTGCTCGGGTTTCTTTGATTTCTTAACCGGCTTTTCGGCCCTATCTTTCTTGGCCTTCTTATGAACAGACGGCTTTTCAGGGCCGCTGTGCTTCCTCTTTTCCCGCTGCTTTTTAGGCGGGGAAGCAGGCTGATCGTCCATGATGGAAGCACCTTCGTCCGAAGGGCGTGAGGTTGGAGCAGTAGAGGAAGGAGCCAGGCGTTGTGGCGGAGAAGTCGGGAGTTGGACGGCAGTCAGGTACAGCCGAAGTTGAAGCAGACTCAGCTACCAGCCGGTCCGATTGTAGGAGAGCCTGGTCCCACAAGAGTTTACGCAGGTGATTCTCCCTATTCTTCCTAGCCTGCTTCGAAAAGGCCAGACAGTGGCTGCATTTGTCCATCCTGTGACCTTCCCCCAAACAGAGGAGGAACAGGTCGTGCGGGTCCGCCATGGGCATCTTAGAGCTGCACTCTATGCACTTGTGGAACGCCGCTCGTTGCACTATCGTAGAAAAAGAAGAAAGACAGAGTAGAGGGAATAGATAAAACTTTTTGGTTTATTTTTTTTTAGAAACAAGAAGAGGAATGAAGAGACTAACAGGAATGCTATTAAGAGCAATAGAACGAGGGAATACTAACTTGGAAAACGAGAAAGAGAAATCGCAAAGCGGGGAAGAACGAGAAACGATCTTTAGTGAGAGCAAAAGTGGCACGAGGCACAATGAATGATGGTTGCAAAGACTGGAAAATGGCGGCCACTCCGCTCCATATATACTATGGGAGGGGAGGGGAGGGGAGCAGAGTTTCCCGTCAAAACCGTTAGCTATCAATCTTCCGGCCACAGGCACTGCGCAGGCACAAGAACCCATATGTGTGATGCACAGAGGCCACGACGAAGAACCTGGAAGCACCAGCTCATGCAAGAGTGTGTGCCCAATTTAAAAGTGAGCATTTATTGGTTCATGTGCTAGGTTCCAAGGCACAGGACTTTCTGAAAACCATGAGGCATGACAATCTAATGCCATGATTTTCTGGGCAAATTTCACATTGGGGCTATGCATACACTCCCTCAGAATACAAAAACAAACTTCACACTTTGCAGAAGCTGTTGAAGGAGGCTGTCACCCATAATAAGCATTCTGGGTGGTCACCCAAAGTCAGGTATTTCTATGACAAACTGGAATCCACACTACTCAGTTGTAGGGGTGTAATTCCTAGCTATACTGCCAGCAGATGGATTGCTTTGTCTCAACCTATGTAGTGGCATAGGTTTCTGGATTTGGGTGGAATGGTTAATTAAGCCCATGGAAAGGAAGAAAAGTTTTGAAGACAGAACATATGACCAAATAAATAATTCACTACTGGGAAAGTAGTAGTGCATTCTGTGTTGTGAAGACATGTGGACTGGAGAGCATGATCTAACAAACAGGTCAGCTGTGCTAAACAGAACCAAGAACAGTGAGGAAGGACTCGTCTGTCATGTCTACTACCAAAGGCAGGAAGATGAGGAATAAGAATCCCTTCAGTGCCAGGCTGCCCTAAGATCAGAGTGGAGTGTAATATCAAAAGACAATGCTTGGAATAAAGGTGTTTGGCAGGATGGGGGAGGGGGCATGTGCTGGTGGTAATCTTCACAAGCACTACAGTGGTACCTTGGTTCACGAATGCCCCAGTTCATGATCAAAAATTTCAGAAAAATTTTGCCTCTGTTTGCGAACTCCACATTGGGTGACGACCAGTATTGCAGCCATGCTCCCGCACAAACACGATCGCGGCCATCTTCCCTGCATAAGCACGATTGCAATCGCACCCATCTTCCTCACTCACAGTCACAGACCTGTGGTCACTTGCTGTGAAGCATTTTTGTATGCTTTTTAGCACATACAGTACCGTAAAGTATTATTCAATAATAATATTGAATAATGGCTCCAAAGAAAGTGCAGAGCAAGCATGGTGGTAAAAAGAAAGTGCAGAGCAGTAATGAAGGTGACAAGAACAGATTTTAGACAGACATTAGTCAGATTTTTCGCCAAAATTGATCCTGCAGCTAAGAGACAGAAGAGAGGAAACCCCTGAAGGAGCTCATCCCGATGTCCTTATGCAGGGCGACTCTCTCTCCAAACAATAACCTCCCCCCTCACCTAGGTTAGTGTTCTCTAATGTACTGTACTTTGTTACTTTGTTTCAAATTTTTGTGATAAAAAATATTTACAAAATGGATTAACCTTATTTATATTGAACCTTATGGGCAAATTTGACTTGGTTCGCAGCCAAAATCAGTTCGCAACCACATTCGTAGGAGTCAGAATGGATTGACCTTATTTACACTGAATCTTATGGGGAAATTTGACTTGGTTCGCAACCAATTCAGGTCGCGACCAGAATCATAGAACGAATTAAGTTTGTCAACCAAGGTACCACTGTATAATGTAGGTGGAAAGGTGGAAAAAGGAACAAAGAATGAAAATATAATTTGCAGAGGGATGAGGAAAGTCAAGCCATGACAAATGACAAAGATTCCAGACATGGCGGTGAGGTGGCGTTACAAATAAGTGGGAAAGAAGCTTTTCTCTGTGATAAAGGCAAAAATGTGGAATAAATGGGTTCCAGAAAAGAAGTGTGTGTTGCTAGGGAGGGGGGGAGGCAAGCCACTGTTCATAGTAAAGTCACCAAGCACAGGAAAGTGTGAGAAGCACCTGGATGGGAGAGAAGAACTTTTGCATAGTCAAAGTGAACGCTGGGAGAAAGTAGCATTCTATGAAAGGAGGACAAACAGGAGGCAAAAAAGACAGGGGTAATTTTCACAGTGAGGAAGATGAAAAAGGTCATATCAGCAATGAGGCAGACAGAGATAGGATGAAACGTTGCATTAGGGAGAAGAGAGAAAACACACCTAGAACATTCAGCAGACAAATGGATAACAGGTTGCAAGTGTACCAGGGACCCTGGGATATAAGTTTGCTTGCAAAGGAACATGGGACACTAGCCAGGAGTGGAAGGTACAAAATAAACAGAATGGAAGTACAGTAACAATCAGAAGCACAATCGACTAATAGGAACAGCACGGTACAGCAGGAGAGAAAATTAATGACTGTGGTAACTTAAAATATTTGCTTGCTATGATGTGTAAACCTGCCCACACAGAAAGTCAGAGAGAACAGACAAAAGAACTTCAATCATTTTAGTTAGTGGACAGAAGGTGGTCCTTCAGATACATGATCCCAAAATAAAAGGACTATAAAGATCATGAGCAAGCCTAATTTGGCTCGGATAGACAGAAAGGTAGTACAGTTGTTTTAATAAGGGAGCTTCAGCATTCCAGTATGCAGTTCTTGTTAACAACTTCACTGCTGCATTCTGTACCAACTAAAGTTTCTGAGCAAGATAGGAAACCAACAGCTGCCAAGAGGTGTACTGTACCCAATCCAAAACAAGGAAAAAGTGAGAAAGCTTCTCAGATCTGTTCACCTTTTCCAAATGGTTGAATCTGAGTTCTCACAAAATAACTTTTGGTTTGATCTTACTACATATATTTCAGTGCTGGCATTTCTATTGCTAACTCTACAGTTCTTTTGTCTCCAACACACACAGGAAATAAATTGGTATGAACTAACCATTTGTACCATATAGGTTCTGCATTAAATCCTTGCAACTCATGCAACCAACACTTTTTAACATGAGCATCTACCAACTGCAGAAATACTACATCGCCCAAAAGTTAATTTGCTGAGGTTCCACAAGAAGCATTATACTTGCCTTGGAAGGTTGAGGAACAACACTAGTATCAGCAGGACTTTCTGGTTTAGGAATACTATCAATAAGCTCCAGAATAGATTTCAATTTCTCATCTGAGATGTTGAAAGACAATAATGGCAGTTCACCAAACATTTTGTATCTAAGACATATAAAGAGACAAAGCCGTTAGAAAAGCATAGCCATGTATTAGGGAATTAAAGTATTTAAATAGCTGGTAAGTACTTCGCATTCATTAATACAAGTGCTTTCAAGTAAATCATAACATTTTTAAACATTAGAACAATAAACTTCAAAATATATATTTTTTGGGAAAAAACCCCTATCAAATCAGAGAGAAAAAAAAATGGAAAAATGCGTATCACTACACTAACTTTTAGAGTTCTATGAAACTGTCAACAAACTTGTGGACAGGGATGATCTGTACATTTTGACTTTCAAATAGCTTTTGAAAAGGTAACTCAAAGGTTTCAGAGTTGATTAATGTAATATAAGGATTGCTCTTATAGGTAACTGGCTAAACAACTTTAAGCACATTAAGCAACCAGTAAAAGTAAATGGATAGTTCTCATAATGTAAGACAGTGGGGTCTCCTCATGATCTGTAGTGAGACTGAGACTATTTAGCATTCTGAAGCAAAGCTAAGTATTAAGCAGTAAAGCTTGCAGATACTAAATGGGAAAGGTAAATAAAAAAAAAAGAATTGTGAGGCTGCAAAAGTCTATTTCCAAAATGGATGAATGGGTTACAAAATGGCAAATGCCTGGCATGTGCCACTGAAAGTTGATTGAATGAAGGGTTAAACCCTCCCAGATGTGTCCACTGAAGTTTCTTGTGTAGCACCAAGTTTTTAAGAGCACAACTTCAAAGACCTTATGACCATGAGTTCTGTCTACCCCTCAGTGCTGTAAGAATCTACTTCTGGTTCCAGACAGGAAAGTGATGTACAGCTGGGAAATCAAGGAAAACTTTCAAGATAAGGGTGAGGTGAAATAAGATTTCCTTCACAACCTAGTATGCTGCTAAGCAAAGCCACTTTTCTCTTAATTATACTAAAACTCAGACCCTTATCCAGTCCCACCTTGAAAATAACACAACATTGCTTTGTATAACTCCAAGGACAGCAGACATTTCATTGTTCTGACACCAACCAAAAGGCCTTTCAAGTGGTATTATCGTCTTTAATAGTGGAACTTTGTCTGGGAGATTCAAGGACTTTAAAAATGACTCCTAATACCCCAGGCTCCACTGCTAGGACCTACGTGTGTGGTGAGGCCAACAAATTCACTGATAGTTTTCTGACCCTTAGAGCCCATATGTGTGATGCATAGAGATATTGAAGAACTGAAAGATCTGAGAGCTGACAAGTTATTTAGATTCCTTGAGAGAAGTCCAATGCAAACAATCTGCTGCCTGACTGGACACTTGAACTACATGTTCTGCTGAAATGGACTGGAAGGAAGCCTCTGCGCCAACTGCTCAACAATGAAGGATTATTTGTTGATGTAGGCTCAGACTGTGGTGTTGTCTGTCCTATTCAGGAAAAGGCGGCCCAACAAGAACGAAAGGGATAAACCAACTGTAAGAAGTCTTAGGAAAATGTCCTGAAGTTACAGCTGTTTCTCCTTGTTTGTTATCAAGGTGGTCCCAAGTCATAGAAGCACTTTCCAAATTAGAACCTTTAGGGAGCACCTGTTTTTACCTTAGTGGCTCTATCCACCACATCCTATATAAGTTGAGATGCAAAAGTACCTGGATATCCAGATGTGAGAATTGTGCTATCTGGTCCAAAAATGGATGAAAATGGCATTGAAAGAAACCCTTATGTAACCTTGAATAGGATAATACATCCTGACAGGACACCAACAGTGCCAGGAACTTAGCTAGGTCTAGTGACTATGCTGCCATTATGGCAGGCAGGAAATTCCAGACCTTGATATGTCTCTTCTGATAAAAATGCCATGAACTCCCCTGGGTCTAGCATGACCCCTATTGCGGTCATCCACTGGGAGGGAATCAGATGACTTTACTTCACAAAGCTGGGTTAATGCAGGAGGTATGTTGCCATGCTTTGTATGTCCACTAGGCAATTGTTTCACAAAGGAAACCAGATCAACATGTCATCCATATAAGAGTGAATCAATAACCTACTATCAACACATTAGTGAACACTCCTGGCACAGAGATGAGGTAAACAAAGTAGTGTTTGATATTTCAAATAAACAGTGTTATAACAAAATCTCAGGAATCAATAATGAGAGTCTTATAAGAATGTGCAAATGTTTCATAGGGATGCTAATAGCGGAAACCAGCCCCATAGGCAGAAATAGAACGCCCTGCAGAGCTAGTCCTGCCAGGTAGCACCAAGGTGTCAAAGAGTACCTACAGGTTCACACAATTCATGTCCCTCTCCTGTAATAGCCCAGGTCCAATGTCAGATTGAAAGTGATCTAATCAATCCATTTCCATTCAAAATAAGAATCACAGAATAATAGAGCTGGAAGGCTCAGAAGGCCATCAGGTCCAACCCCCTGCTATTGCAGGACACTCACACCATCCCATTTAGATGACTGTCCAAATGCTTTCTGAATGTCTCCAGTGAGGGAGAGCCCACAACTTTCCCAGGTAATAGGTTCCATTGTTGTACTGCTCTGAGAGAGAAAATTTTTCCTGGTATCTAGTCTAAATGAGAAAGACAAGACCAGTAGGAATGGAAGGATGCTATGAACATGTGCCCCACACCAAACCAACAATGAGAAAATCCATGAGAAAGATGGCATACTTGGGCATTCTTGCATCTGTTACAACCATTGCTCTGCTCAATTCCATTTTCACATCCAGGGGGTGCAGTATATGCTGAGATGATGATTGCAAATTACGAGCCTCCTCCCAGTTTTCATCTAAGAATAGAAATGTTTGTTACAAGCAAACTTCAAAAACTAGTGCTTATATACTTAATGACTTAACCTTTCATGTCCATTTTTTCCTACAGCTTTGTTACAGCACTGGCTGCATTTCACCTCATTTTTGACTCCAGACAAAAGTTCCTCAATCAAGGAAAATGCTGCATATGAAAAACCTTTGTTCTGGCTAAAATCTCCGCCCCCCATCCCAAGATTTCAATGAACATAAAAATGGCTTTCAGCTGTCAACCACTACAAGCAAGGTCAGATTCAGTTCTTCTGGCTATGTACAACAAGAAAATCTGCAGAACTGTGCTTGGCCCATTGACCTTTTCTTTGCATAACAATAGAGACATAGAATAATAGAGTCAGAAGGGGGCTCCCGGGCCATCTAGTTTGACCCCTGACTCCAGCTGGCTCCGCTGACAACATGCCCACCATGGGCATGTCTAGCCTATCTTTGAACACCCTCACTGATGGGGCCTCAACCACCTCCCATGGAAGCCCATTCCATACCCTTGGGGTCCTAACTGTCAGGAAGTGCTTCCTGGCATCCAAATTGAACCTTTGGCCTCCTAAAAATCAGTATAATATGGCCTACTAAAAATCAAAAGTTTTCCCTCAAAGGATTTTAACCCTTTTTGCTGGATGTTTCAGCTATGCCTCTTAGCTTTAAAAAGAGACCAAGGTGGTATGTACTGAACCTCCTTTTGTTCCCTTGTTTGTAGCCTATTGTCTGGGGAATAAAAGTTTGGCGTTTGAGAACTATTCCTATAGAGACTTAGGGATACTTTTGTATCTTCACGTGTTTTGGTTTATGAGGAGAACTATCAAGCAAGCACACTATAAAAGGCAGAAGGCTGAAATTTGGGAATGTGTTACTTATTTCATTTTATACTTCCCAATAGCCAAGGCTCTCTTGGTGGTTAACAAAGTTAAAAGGACACACACATATTAAAGAACAAAATCATGATAGCAATAGCAATTGCTATGATTCTGCATAGACTAGGCACTTCCTGACAAGTCAGACTACTTATGTAAATTACAATGCAAAATGTGAGTTAGGGGGATGCCAGTTACCCCCGGATATGAGATGAGGGAGGCAGTTCATGTTGTCCTGGTGGTATAGCTGCTGTTGTAAACCCAAACTATGCAGGTGTATCTAGACACACACTGGAAGTTTATTTCAATGAAGCTTGTGTGTTCTTTATACTCCACAACTATGCTACTAACAGTCCAATTTACATCTGGGTGAAGAAGGTTAAATACGCTTTTGCCTGTCTTGCATTACAGGCATTCAGGAATCAGTCAATGGATAAAACTAATTTTGCTGACTCTTTGTCATTTGTTGAAATCAAAATATGGCTCCTGATAGAAGTTAGTTACCAACTATTGCAGGAATTCAAACTAGTCCACTTTTATTGTCTGTTCTAACTTGTAGGTAAGAGGAAGTGAATCATTTCTTGCTTAAGCAATGGTCTTTTTTTCTTTCATGCACATGCCAGTATTGTTGTGCATTTTAAATATAGGACATCAAATAATTAAAAACCCCACAATTTTCTACATAGCCCACAACGTGCACTGAGTGATACTGAACAGGCTGTTGGAATCAGATTAATGCTAACTTCTGATAATAAGTAAAACCATTTAAAAAATCTACATTGAATCAATTTGTATGAGTACTTACCATGACTGCTATAAAGTAGCTGTATGCTGCTGAGTTGAATGTCAAACTTATCGTATGCTCTTGACATAATAGCTTCAAGAGAGCTTTCACCAACTACAATATCTGATAAAGTAGACCGACTTTTACTCACCATCTTAAATAGAACAAAAGTTAATAATGATAAGTTTAAATACAGTCAACTATTTATTTCAGATAAAACATACTTTGAAATGTGCCCTATAAAAACAAAAACTGCTAGACTTTGTTTTCTTGAGTAATCTAATTGAACATCCTATCTTCATTTGCAGCTTAGCAAAAGGAAAATTTTGGGAGAACAATGAACCATTAAGAAATATGCCAAGTAGACCAAATTCTTTTCTCCATGAATGTTTTCTGCATTTAGAACACCACTCTGAAAAACTCCATGCAACCATGCTAAGTCTATTGCAGTAAAAAATAATACCCAGCTACTGCCTAGCATAACACCAACGTATTTACTCTGTTGTAAGTTATCAGGGCCACTGGTAAAATGTAACTGATTAAGTGGATGTTTTTGTAACCCGAATTTGGTTGTTTTAAAATTCTGGGTTGTTAGCCAGGGTTTAAAAAAACTCTGGGGATTTTTTATGAATTGAGCAAGAATGAGCAAGTGTACTGGATCCTGCTATTCAATTGCTCTGTTCCTGGATTGTTTAACATTGTGTGAGAACTGGAAACTCTGATTTTTGAGGAGCTGGAGCCCAGGATTAAACTCCTGATGCAAAGGGGATTTTCAGTGGGAGTTTTCCCCAGTATTACTTTCCATCTTTGATCTGAGATAAAAGATAGATTATTCTGTGTTATTGCCGTTTCCTTTGATGTAGGCTTCCTCACATAGTGAAGCCAAGCTGACAGGATCCCTTTCGCCCTCTGACAGGTGAGCTGCTGCCACTCAGTTGGGTTGGTTTCACTGTGCATGGGGCTTCCTTGGACCAGTAAAGCCTGCATGAACCAGAGCAGGTTATCAGCCCAAGCACCAAGTGAAAGAACTAGCCAATGCTTCAGCTAGGGAGAAAATATATCAGATATGGCAAGGTTACCTGTACTTATGCCAGTAAGGACCTCAAAGAGCTGCTCATCCAGGCCCCCACCCAATATTGATTCTTCAGCTTGTAATAAATACTATGTAATTAATTGAAATTTGAGAGTTTTACCGTTAAGTGACCAAGATCTAGAAGTAGTTTATTTGCCATTGGTTCATAGAATCCATTTTGTGGAATAATGATATAGGAAGCCATAAGATTTATTTTTAAATCTAAAATCTTCTGTGTTTCTATAATATACACTAATCCTAGAAAAACATCGGAATGAGAAAATGTATTAAGGTTTCCAAAAAAATACTATCTACATTTATTTATGAGTAAACAAGTTTAAGCAAAACAAAAGCTTTCTATGATATTCCAGAGCATTTCATTAAAATGAGTTGTATGCCAATATGAATGGCATTCTAAACTTAAGGTGATTTCACAAAATACTCTTCCATATTAAAATTATCTCCACTTTAACATTCAAAATTGGCACAAACCCGCTGTCAAGTCATCTTCAACTTGTGGCAATACTATGCATGAAATACCTCCAAAAGTCAAAAAATCATAGAATAGTTGAATTGGGAGGGGCCATGAAGGCCTTCAGGTTCAACCCTGCTGTTGCAGAACACCAATTTACACCATCCCACTCAGATGGCTGTCCAGTTTCTTTTTGAATATCTCTAATGTAAGTGAGCCCACCACCTCTCAAGGCACCTTTTTAGTTCTCCAATTTGACTTTCCCTGGTGTGGTTATGTTCTCCAGACAGTTTTGCCTTCTCATGATTTGATAAATGTATATTTATGCTCTGAAATATGTGGAATTTAGTATTTAACATACATTTATTCAAAGTTTACCTGTAGCAGTTTTTTCCCGAAATTCTTCCAACTTTGTTAAAGTTGCTGAGGTTAATTGTTCCAAATGAACATCAGTTGGAGGTCGGAAGAAGTCCACTAAGCTATTCACTGTCATCTGAAAAAGATCAAGAAAGGACAGGGAAATACATTATGAATGTAATGTATACATTCATAATGTATGAATTCATACATGTATGTTAAACTAACTTTACAAGTGTTAAAGTTACTTTAAACACTTGTAAAGTAAGTAACACTTTAAGTGTTAAGTAAAATTATTTTTACACTATTAAAACACTATTTTTATTTTTAAAAACAAATCCATAGAATAAGTTTCTACTTACTGCATCATATATTATTTCTAATGGCTGTGATTCTATTCTTAGCTTCTGATTGGCACTCTCATTTAAGGGATTTGTCTCAAACATTATGGTGAAGAGTGATGTATTGTGCTGTGAGTGAACTGTGTTAGAAGACAGCAAACAGGGAATGGTTTTTCTTTGAGCCATGCCCTTTACTTCAAATGCACTTACACTTGATTCAAATCTGTGCAAAACAGAATATAAACATGTGATTATATACATACACAATTACATTATTTCAGTGGTTTTTAAAGAGCTACTTCCCCCATAATTTAATGACTAGCATGAAGCATATGAAGGCATGAATGCTTCGACTTACCTTTTCAATGAATGTTTCTAGTATAAGAGTACATATAGTAGCATAAACAAAATCAACATAAAAGTACTTCTGCATGTGGTCATCTTCAACATCAGCAACCATCTAAGTCTATCTAAAACATTTTGCTTTCTCCCTCTGGAGGGAACACCTTGCGAATTAGTTTATGACATTTAATATCCAAACCTAAAGGACAATACATTTATCCCTAACACATCACACCTTTTGTGACTTCACACATACGCCAATTCGGGAATCAAGCTTGGATGAAAGTTAGGCTATAAATATACACTGTTTATTTCTTTAATGTGGTTATATTTCATATTGTCCACATTTAAATAATACACATTGTGTTAATTCCATACACAGAGCACATATGATTCAACGTGTAGAGATCAGTGATAGAAGGAAATGCAGAATACCTCCTACTTACTTAGTTGCTTTAAGTGAACTTGGTTGTAGAAGTACTGCATGCAATGCCGTGGTGAGGCATTATGGGAAGAATGGAGTACCTTGTGCTTGGCTATACTTTTTACATCTAATTCTGCCCTGTCAACTATCTCTTTCAAATGTAGTGAGGAGTAAGATAAAATGGATCTCAGCTCCAGCAACAATTCTGAAGCTATTTTCATGCATCTACATGGAACAGGATCTCACTGAACCCACACAGGGAGGCTCTTTAAATTTTCTGTATAAAGTTTATTTGACTAATAAAAAGTTGTAATGGATGTAGAAAATATGGCATAAACCTCATGTTAAAAGTATCAAACTGTGTTTTATTTGTTGTCTGATGTAAATCCTTCAACAGCTACAAAATAAGACAAAATAGATTTATGACATGGGAAGACAGATGAGGCTAAGCTAAATTTACTGATTCCAGCAGTTCCTCTGTCTTGATCTTGCAAAAGTGGTGGCTGTCACTGTAGATGATGCACCCTAACAGTATTAGCATGGGCTATCTCAGTTGTGAACTAAATGATGTTTGTAGTTACACTATCCGGTAAGAACTGCTTTGATTAAAGTTTCAAATATCTGGACTAAAATTTAGGTTTTAGGAGCTACTCTCCACACTGTTAGAAGTGTGTTCGGGGTTTGGAGTTGAACCTTGATCCTACTTTAGCAGATTTGGGATGGAAGGGAGAGAAAGAAACTGTCCCCTAAAATGATGCAGGAGGAGGGCAAACCAGAGCTGTCATAGGCTCCACGGAGCAATCAACTTACAATCTGTGCTGCCTACTTGCAAGCACCTTGACCTATAATGGAAAAGGTGGAAAAACATAGTTCATTTATCACTAAAAGATGAAAGCATAAAAGAACCAGCACTGAAACCAGTGTGAGTGTAGAACAGGTGTCAGAGTGCATTCTCTTGGGTGGAAAAGAGGTTTATGAGGGGCATACCCATTGCTGAAAGAAGGATGTCCTGACCTTCATGTCCAAATCCCATTTGTTGGAGAGCAGGTAAAAACCACTGAGAGTGTCTGCCAAGTGGTTGTTTGTACCAGCTATATGGACAGCTGAAAGCTTTAAATTTCATCCACTGGTTCAATTCCAAATGTCAAGAGTTAAGCGTAGGAGTCTGTGCTATTTCTTGTTTGTTGGTGTACCAATCATTGTAGACCAGCGGTCCCTAACCTGCAGCCCCTAAGCATTTTCTGTGTAGCCCTCCAACCTGCTTGTTTTCTGCTATCACCCTCAAGGCATTTTCCCTCAGACCCACACTGTTCTTCCTGCCTCAAGAAGAGGCAGAGGACAAGAGAAGAGAAAACTAACGTGAGAAGGAAATCAAATTGGATGTGGGGAAATGAATGATAAATCTGAAAAGAGATAATTGTTTAAGCTCCTTAGACTGAATATTAGAGACAAAATGAGGAATATTTTTTAATATAGTCTTAGAGTCTTTCAAAGAATATGTTAGAGTTATTTGGATATATGATAATCGTAGCAAGAATCACAGTTGCTTCTGGATGGAAATCTTCAGAGCCCCCAATTAATTGAGGAATGGTGAATCGAAATGGCAGACTATGTTGTGATGGCCAAGTTGACTAGTTGTGTAGGTAGAAGATTGTTAGAGAATAAATGGAATTTTACTGTGCTTAGCATGTTTAGTGGTATTTCAGGAGCTTAGAAAAGGAAAGTAAAAGAAGCAGTAGAGGATCTGAACTGATTGGAGGATCTGTTGCGGTATAGATTATTTCTTTTGTGTTAAACTCTCATGGAGCATAGAAAGACAGGAAGATAGATAGATTTGGGGGGCTGATTGTACTGGCTGGATCTGTACAGAATTCCCTTGGCAACCTTGTCTATTTTAGTTTGCTTTGTCTATTTTAGCTGTTTGGTTCATTACAATTGTTTTGTTTTGTATTCTTTTCTATTTGTTCATCTTAAGAAAATAAAAATTTTAAAAAAGGCTATATATGTGTGTAAGGAAGATAAACCAGCTTCCATAGCCCATGTGTGTAATGCAGAAAACATGAAGAAGACCTAGAGATACTAAAGGTAATTATACATTAAAGGTAATGTCTGGTTTGGCCTTCAGTGTTAAGCTCTGGCATGAGCTGCATTTGGAGGCAGCTGAAGGCAGAGATCCAGAAACTACTATGCATGATTGTAGACAGGCTGAAGATAGCATTGACAGGGCAAACACACAGTTAGAGCCATGCTCAGGACAAGTTCCAGAATAGCAACAGGGGGCAGACAACTATAAACAAGGTGAAAGGTAGAGTAGGCAAGCATCACAATGTGAGACAGCAGTCATGAAAAGAAAATGTAACAAGCAGGGCCTTCGCATTAAAGATCAGCTGTGTGGACTGATAGTTGGCTTGGCTGCAAAGAACTTACACAGCCTGCTGTGTCCTGAATGGTTCACATTCACTTGAATCTCTTCAGATTGATACTACAGTTTAAGGACAGCCTTTCCCCTGAGGCCTAGACTACACTGTCTCCTAAGGTACCAGAGTGCTGATGGTAAGGAAGTAAGGTGCTGGAGATCAGCTACTGGAGACCCTTGTTTGAGATTTCTTAGTTATTTAGACTCAGTCTCCAAACAACTATGTCAGGAAGCTTTACACTTAAGAGACTGGATATGAATCTATTATGTTATTTTCCACATGACCTATCATAGTGAAGTCAGAAAATATTTAACTCAACTTTGAAAATACAAACTATCACGTTTCAAAGAATAAGTATGAATAAATTCCTACCTTATTGCTTCAGCACCAGGCCGTTGTGTCACTGTGGTGCACAGATCAATTAATGCAAGTTTTATCAGTTCAGGCTTCCCTTTGTTCTCCCTGATCTGGACAGTCATGCTTACCAGTTTTATGTAAAGCTTTATGGCTTCATACTGTGCAAATTGACAAAAGTGCATAATAAGTAGCAAGATCTTTTTGCAAAATATAATTAACCATAAAATGTCTTAAGTTGAAATTCAGAGTAATTGAAAGTAGGGCTGAACTGATTGTCCAACTGCCACTACTATTTGCTTGGCAGCTAGCGAACCACTTCACAGTGGCTTCAGGATAGGGAGCAAAATGTTTCTGTGAAGGTGAAGGGGCGCTGCCTGCTTGCAGCAACAGTATTCAAGAGACATTCTGGGGGAATTAAACATGGCAGTGGCTGGGGCTCTGCTCTACTATTGGGATACTTTTTTTTTTTTTAAGAGTTAGAAAGTCAAGCAAGCAAGCAAGCAAAAAAAAGTTGCCACTAGGACAACATCAGGCATCTTTGCTTTTTCCCCTATTATAAACATAATCATTCACTTCACTTTTTCCAAAACAATGTAAACTTTTTTTGTGCCTTCCCACCCTGAATATTCTTGATTTGTGTTTTAGCTCACAAAAAATACACCAAAAATGAAACTGAACAGAAGCAGTCCAACCCCACTTGAATGGTCTATGGGCATATGTAAAATATTCCATAATATTATTTGACAGGTAAAATCAATTATATATTGCAAGCTTCTCAAAAAATATAAGTATCTAGTTTTGTTGTTGTTGCTAGTTGCGAAGTCGCGTCCGACCCATTGTGACCCCATGGACAACATTCCTCCAAGCCTTCCTGTCCTCCACCATCCCCCAGAGTCCACTTAAGCTCACGCCTACTGCTTCAGTAACTTCATCTAGCCACCTCATTCTCTGCCGTCCCCTTCTTCTTTTGCCATCTATTGTTCCCAGCATTAGCCTCTTCTCCAGGGAGTCCTTCCTTCTCATTAGGTGGCCAAAGTATTTGAGTTTTATCTTCAGTATCTGGCTTCTAAAGAGCAGTCAGGGTTGATCCCTCTAGGTTCGATCGCCTTGTGGTCCAAGGGACTCGCAGGAGTCTTCTCCAGCACCACAATTCAAAGGCCTCAATTCTTTGGTGCTCAGCCTTCCTTATGGTCCAGCTTTCACAGCCATACCTTGCAACTGGGAAAGCCATAGCCTTGACTATACATGCTTTTGTTGGCAGGGTGATGTCTCTGCTTTTTAGTATGCTGTCTAGATTTGCCATAGCTTTCCTGCTAAGGAACAAGCGCCTTTTAATTTCTTGGCTGCAGTTCCCATCTATGGTGATCTTGGAGCCCAGAAAAATAATATCTGTCACTACCTCCATTTGGTACTGTCCATGGTGTTTTAATGGCAAGGATACTGGAGTGGGTTGCCATTTCCTTCTCCAGTGGATCTGCTTTTGTCAGAGCTCTCTGCTATGACCTGTATGTCTTGGGTGCCCCTGCAGGCATAGCTCATAGCTTCATTGAGCTATACAAACCCCTTCGCCACGACAAGGCAGTGACCCATGAAGGGGAAGTATTTCGTTCAGGTGACTGTATAATTAAGAATTAATTAGTATTCATGAAAGTGACACATCTCACTGGACAAACTCAAACTGCAAGACAACCTACACTGTTACTCCAAGAAAGTCTTTGACTCCACAAGTCCAAAGTTTGTTACAAATATTGAGAATATTTCAATTTGTTCCACACTTGGGGGAACTGTTAGTTCATATATACAGTCCTTATTGCTAAGATTCTGATAAATAACAGGATGCCATCTATTATTAAATTTTGAAGAGGGAATGACAGGCAGGAATGTCCATTATCTCCATTTTCATTTAATTTGCACACTGAATTTCTGGCACAGCAGGCTAGACTGGACAAAGGCATTAAAGGAGTTTAATAAATGATATTCAGACTTAAAGTAATACTATAGACTGGTAATGCAGTCCTGGTTTCAAAGCTTAAGATCAAACTGGAAGCTTTGTGAAAAATTTCTGGGTACAAAGTGAACCCAGGTAAATCAGGAATATTATCAATTAATACTGAGAATGTACATAAACAGGATTGAAGAGGACCTAAATTTAAACAAAGGAACACAGAGGATCTCTTTTCAGATAAAATATATACTTTGATAGAGGATAATAATATATAGCTTTTATTATCAATTAAGCAAGAAGTGAAGTGATGGCTCCAATTATGCATATCTTGAGTGTGGAAGACCTGCATATATTAAAATGAAAATATTACCCCAAATTGTATTTTTCTTATACTGTCAATTAAGATGCTACAAAAACAAATCACAATGCTGCTTCAGTTTCAATATATATGGTTATATAAAACTGCAAGGGTTAAAAAACAAACTTTACCAAAAGGATGAGAAAGAGATGGACTGTTATTTCCTAATATTGTATATTACTATCAGGCTTGTTGCAATAGCACAATAGTCCCAAACAGCTAGATCCTGGACTATTTATATATTTGCAGCTTAACTTAGGGAACAAATCAGAATTGATAATGTACAACAAAATTGAATGAAGACTGTATTTATTAATGTTTGGGAAATGTTTAGTTATAGACATTTCATCTCTTCCTCCAATAATTAAAGCTGCAGGTTTTCAGAAAACAAGTGAAGAGTGGAATTATGCTGCCTAGTTAGAAATTAATTTAGCTAAGTTTAAAGATTTGATTCCAAAGGGCTAATTATTTCAAATGCTCAGTTAATATGGAGGAAACAACATCTTCAGATCTCATTTTCTGATATTTACAGATCAGAAGTTACATGCAGGAAACAACCAGAAGGGCGGATTTGTCTGCAAGTTACAGCTTATTTGAAAAAAACCTGTATAGCATCACACAAAAAGGTTGCATTCAAAAATATATACAATTGCACTAGAGATAGGCAATTATAGTGCAGAGGAAAACAAAATAAGAGAATTTAGTATATTAATTTCAGAAGAACATTGGAACTGTGTTAGTCTATGTTTTTTTGAAGCGTATTATGAAGCATGTCCCTTACTGCTAGAAGGGGGCTTTTCACTATTTAGCCAATCCTGCCATCTACTGATGTATGAACAAACTGCAATGGGTTAACTCACAGGACAATTTTTCTAACAAAACTGTGAGGATCTGATGCTTCATAAGGCAATAAAAGAGCGGGACAAAGTGGGGTCAATTTTGCTTGTCTCAGGCTTTTCCCATACAGATTTTGGCTGAAAGACCAAGGAAAAGTTAGGATGCATGGAATGTTACTTGTAAGAAAGCACAATTTCTAACACTGCATAACATCATTACTGATCCTGGGTCACATCAGTTAATACATAATCCTCTGCTTCAGATTCCCTGACCTTGTGGAACTTGATCCAACACAAGTCAGCCTTATGAAGTGAAATTATATAAGTCAGCACAAATTCCAAATAAAACTCTGACTGATTCACTAAGGGTCTTATCATTCAAACTTAAAAATCATAATTTTATATACAATTCTCAAACACTACTGTATGAACTAATGTTGGCCTGTGATTCAGTTTGTTGCTCTGCAATTCCAGTGGTCTGACATGACCTGCCATATTGTAGTTGTTGCAATGAATTACATACTTCTCTCTCTCATATACAGCTTAAGGCAATGCTGTCACACAGATTAAGAATTCATTCACCATTTTCTCTCTCTTCTGGTTCAGTGGCATTGGAAGTCATTATTAAGTTGGAAATATTAAACACTCATGTCGTTACAAAATAATGTAACAGACAATACATGCGACCTCTTGCTTTTGAAACTACCCAGCCACACATCATACTGATGTAAATTTCAAAGGTTTAAAATGGGAAGTTGAGTACTTACCATGAAGTTCCACTCTGATTCAATACACAGGATACTCCCACTATGGCTAACTTGTCCCAGTGCCCAAGACAGACAAGAACATAAGACCAGGATTTTTGCCTTGGTCCTGGCCTCTGTGGTTTGCGTCAGCCACTTTTTCTAGTTGAACCTGAGTGTTGTGGGAAGACTAAAGAGCCGCCCTGTAGATCGCCATTTATGGGAATTACAGTAGAGAAAAAACTACTGATGCATCTGTGGTCTTGCTGGAATGTGTTGTGGCATGTGCAGATTTAGGGAAATTATTAATCTCATTAAATGCAAATATACAACCCTTGAGCCAGCTAACTTGAGTGGTATGGGAGGGCTTCTTTCCATTGCAGTAGGATGGAAAGAAAGAAACTGGAGAACCCAGAAACCTCATTTTTAAGGTAGTTTTTGCTGGCCTTTCTAGCACTGGGAAGTTACATAGCCGCTGAGAGTAAGACAGGTTAAAGCAGAAGAAAGTGATAACCACCTCTTGTATTCTGTATAAATCAGGGTTAATTCTGAAAGTGAAGAAAGGTCTAGTGGAAGAGCTACAGAGTTCTTGTTAAAAGAACAAAAGTGATTCTTCATGGAAAACAGAGTCAAGATCTTTTTGGCTGATAACAATAAGGAATAACAGTTTGAGAGAAAACATAGTAACCATTTTCTGCAGCTCAACAGGGGAAATGGTAAGAATTAACAGCATCACCTGCAGACTCCAGGTTGGGAAACAATGTGTTGCTGCAGAACACAGCTGGATATGACACACCCTTCTGAGGAACCTTTGAAGGCGGCAACAAAGTGACAACTAGGTAACTTGCAGCACACTTCAGAGATAACAAAAGAGAGGGTAACTTGACTACAAAATGCTTTACTCTGAGTCCCATATCAGAGCAACACTTGAGTCCTCGGAATCTGCTGTCTTACAATCCATCGAGTTTTCACGTATTTAATTCACTGTTATGGAGGACAAAGGTGTTCAGCTGCCTCTACAGAACAGACTAGTTAGAGGAAAAGGCTGTGTTCAGTAGCCAAGTGGCTTGACGTAGCCAGTGAATTAGGTCTGTATGTCTGACTTGTCTTTGTGCAAAAAAGTCTGTCTTCAAAGAAAGCACCTATGGGTCTGTTTGCGCTAGCTGAAGGATTTGGGCGAACTATGACTCTCTGGGGCAGAATAGGATTCTGAATACAAATGCTGTCCATTCCTCCATTATCTGTCAACTGGAAGAGAAGAGTAGAGCCTACTCTGGGGTCAGTGGGAGAGGAGCACATCCATGACATCTACTGATAGAAATCAGGGGGCACGAAAAGAAGGCAGGTGGTGAAGTGAAAAAGTCCATCTGGAGTAGTCCAAAGTGATGGAAGAAGTGCTGAAAGATTGTTTCCAGAGTTCATCCTTCAAACCCGGGGCACTGCCAACTTGTAAAGTTGGTCCTTAAGGGTCCCCTGAATCTGCTATACTACTGCATCGAAGCAAACAGGAGACCTTGAATGTGAACAAAACAAATAATCCTTTCAGTCTTACACTTCTCTTTAGTAGTGAGATGAGGATCTTAAAAGATGCCTTATGATGACTGAAACTACTGGCTCATCTAGCTCAGGAATACTGAAACTAGCTAGCAGCAGCTTTCTTGGAGTTTCCCAGGCTAATTGGAGGTGCCAGGAATTCAACCAAGACATTTTACAAGTATGTGCTCTGCTATTGAGCTATGGGCCGTCCGCTGATCTTAGTGAAAGTGGGGGTGGGGCGGGGTGTGTTTGCTTAGCCATTTGCTTTGAGGAGGAGAACCTTCAAATGTCTCTATTTCCTCCCTCCATGATGGGTTAATGTGCTTGAGAATACAAGCATTACAGGCCTGGGAAAACAAAATGATTTTTTTTTGTTTTTTGTTTTAACATGAAGTGAATGAGAAACATAGCCTGCTCTCACTTTGAGGGTTTCCAGAATTGCTTGTGTACCCTGATGAAAACTGCTGGGTTGGTATCTGGATTAGATGAGAGGGAAACAGAAGAGAAGCTGAAAAATCCCACAACATCCTCTTCCAGAACACTACATGAGGAGTGATTACTGTAATGGCATTAGCATCAATGTGGCACAGGGGTTGGCTTTGCCTGAACATTATAAGCACCCTGAAAGAATCCTCAGTGGGGCATGTGTTAGATTTTGCCTGAAGTGATAAGCCACTTTTCTGATTTGAGTAGAAGAGGTGCTTTTAGTAGTTTGGGTCCAAGCAACTCTAATATGAGTTACTGGTCTTTCTTTTTTCTCCTTTCCAGATTTGGAGCTTTCTGGTTTGTTGGACCAATTTTGTAGCAAAATAATTAAAGGCCAAGAGAACGAAAGCCAAATGCTCCCTTTTTCTTGTAAAGCACAGAACAGAAAAAGTAGAGAGAAGTCCAAGGTTTGTAGAGATGAAGAATATTTAAAGAAAATAGGATAATAAGATCCTTGAGTAGACAGTTTGTGGAAAGAAAAACTAGAACAAGCCATATCCCAGGCAGAGGCATGGAACAAACTGGCTGGGAGGAGCCACAGCAGCCAGGACAAAGGGGAAAATCCTGGTCACATGTTCCTTGTCTGCCCTGGACAGCGAAGGCGGTAACCCATAGTGGATGTCTCCTTGCATTAGATGGAAATCACAGCTCCAGGTATTATCTCCTATTGTAAGATATCTATTCATGTAGTGTGGATAAAGTAAAATATTTGCTGACCTATATTACAAAATCAAATCACACTCACAGTTTTAGGCAATGTTGGATCAATGGCTGTTTCACCGTAACCTATTGCTGCATAAAGTTTATCCTTTTCTTCTGGAGTCATCAACTGTTCAATGCCTGATAGGGTAAAACAATCAATATTAATGTATTCCGTAGAAAAACTCAGTACTGTAACAATCCTACTAAATAACAGATCAGCATTTTAGTATTATCACTTGTAAAAGTTAGAAAAATACTGTCTTAAGTGGAGCTACTTTGTCACACTCTAAGATTTAGAAGTAACATGGTTAAGCTGAAGAGTTTGCATTTCATTTTGGACAGAGTTCACTCAGCCCAAAATCTGTTCTCATTACCAGCTTAAAAGCATAATGACGTGGATCCAAAGGACACTTGTGAATGGACGGAACTGTCTTCCATCAAAAGAAATGAATCTTCAAATTCAATCCAATGTGTACACCAAACCTATGCATTTTCAAATACAATAATCATAATCTTAACTCCTACAATACTTTTACACAGGAATTAGCTGCATTATGGATTCATGTGCTTACATCAGGCATCCAGTAGCTACTCTTTTCCTAAACACTTGCTCTGATATAGAAAGTGTAATTCTGTCCATTTCATTATAAATGGAGAAATTTGATAAAGGAGCTTAAGTTATTGGCAGCACACATAGAAATGCATAACACAGAAGGTCCCTGGAGCCCCAGTTTGCACAACTGGTTCTCTGTAGGGTCTGGCATCAAGCCCTTGTAAAGAAATGTACTACACCACTGTATTATCTAACGGGCGTAGTTAAACCCACCTTAATTTATATCATATTTTATAAAAGCCCATCTTTCCAATACTGACTAATCATTTATTATTTGGGAAATATGTCCTTAAACCTATAATGTTTTAGGTATTGTTTATTTGGATATACTAGTAGCTTTCCTTTCCTTTCTCACAGAATAACCATTCTTCTGATTTGAAGTTTCCTATTTAACTGTAACTTGCACTCATTCCAAACAACTCTCAATTAAAATAAAGCAAGCAAGCTCGTACATATTTGCTCCATTTGTTCATGGAGCAAAAAGCATAAGGGATCTTAAGATTTTCACCTTATCTCCTAAGCAGTGAAACAGTGAGGATGAAGGGATTAGGCCCACCTCTTCCCCAAAATACAACCTTCCAAGGTTGTCACCACAGGATCTAAGTCAGAACTGGAAGCAAAGGCAGGATAGGACTTTTCAACTGAAATGCAAGGGCCTATAGGCACAGTGATACGCCAAGAGACCAGTGAGAAGCAGATCATGTCTGCTCTTCTGAGACAGTCCACTGAACAGGTGGAGTCAGATGGGGAGGATGGGTCACGATCAGTCCCACAGTCCAGCATCAGATCAAAACAGCAGACAGCAAAAAAAGATAACACCGTATTACACAACTGTCAGTTATCCCAATTTTCCAGGCATAAATTCCCTGCATGAATTGGTGAGTATTTCAGTCAAGTAAAAAACAGTAACAGAAAATGACAGAGTCTGAAAGAATCACGGGAAAGGGTGCCTGCACAGATTTTAAGTTTTAAGTAAGTCCAATACTGTGAGGTTCTGGGGCAGCATTAGGGCTCCCTCTTTTGGCCAAAGACATGAATAGCAACCCTGGTGGTTGCAGGACCAGGTCCACAGTCAGTCACAGCCATCTGGGATGTTACAAGCACCACCTGGCAGGCCCTAAGGGAAGAGCTATACCAAGTTCTTTCCTCCAGATGCTGCCTCAGCAACAAAGGGTCTTGATATTGTTGGAGCACCCTATACCTTCTGGAACTTGCCTGTTGCCTTGCTTGTGCCTCCCCTTCTGAACCATACCCGGCTTTACCTGCTCTGCCTTCTGCTCCTAATCCCAGGTATCTGCTTCTCCTCAGCTTCTCTCTCTGGCTTTCGACTCCTGACCGGCATTGACTGCTCTGCTTTATTCAGACTGGCCTACTTTGCACTTCTGTTCCCACCTTGATCTCCGGACTGCCTAACTACAAATTGGAATGGGGCTGTATATCATACCAGTTGTCTGGGTCCTAGCACTCCAACCTAATTCCCAGCCACCCATACCCCAGATGCTGGCAGCTTGCTGAGGCCACATCTGAAGAGAGGACCCAGTTCTTATATAGCTCTTCTGTCAGGGCTCCCAGGTGGTGCTTGTAACATCCCAGGTGGCTGTGGTTGACTGTGGACCTAGTCCTGCAACCACCAGGGCTGCTCTTCTGGTCTCTAGCCAGAAGAGGGAGCCCTGATGCTGCCCCAGAAACTTACAAATACATGATTTTTTTAGAATATCCTCTTAATAGCATTTGAAGACTTCTCAGTTCCAGCAGGCCTGCTATTCCCCAAGAAGTATTTTGAACTGACCTTTTTATGTTTTCTGTTTTAATATTTGTAGTTTTATAATAATATAAAATGATGTTGTACACCAACTTGAGTCTCCAAAATTTAAGCAGAAAGACAAGTAGTAAGTATTTTAAGAGCAATAGTAATTTGCTCAAAATAGCAACACTGACACTACTAAGCAGGTTAAGGCTTGTGAACAAGATGGCTTATGGAATCATTGGGAACATCTAAAGTATTCCTAACTCCAAATGGGCACATTGTACCTTTTGGCTCTTGTACAGCTTGGTCCGTTTTACTTCCAACCCATCCCCACATCCAACTAAACCAGCCACCAGAATCTTCATCATCTTGCTTAGTTCCCGGTCTGAAAATCTTTAAACCAGCCTTTGTTGCCTTTATGAAAAAATTGAAAAGTTTAATATTAATATTTAACAGTAAATATTTTATTTAATGGCACAAGTATGAAGAAATCAGGTAAGGTGTAAAACAAATAGGCAATGTTGGAAACAGATGAAGCACAGTTTGGGGGCTCCAGTGATACAAGATCAATACAGCATAGCCCTCTTTTCTTTTGAATTTCATTTAGTCTTGGTCCTGCTATCGCAGCAACACAGACTTGTGACTTGCTTTAAAATAGAATTATCTATTTCAACAGTTAACTATATAAATAGAGAACTATGTTTTAATAGATACTTGTAACTGTTGTTTTTTGAGTGATCATTTCTGCATTTACACATATGGGCTCTGCACCTGCATGCAGCTTGTTACCAGGATGTTTCAATAGCTAAGAGCAAGGGAACTGTGGGAAATGGCAGGAACCCCTCTCTATTATATGGACGCAGAGGTGGGGGG